TATTAATAAATAAAAATAATGTTTTATTATAATATAAATATTTAAAATTAGTTATTTATATAAATTTTAAATATGATTTATCATTTAAATTTAACAGTTATTTATATATGATTTATTATAAATTTTAATTATATAATAAACATTTTTATGCTGAACTAAAATACTAATAATAAATAAATAATTTAATACATTATTTGTTAATTGAATTTTTTAAGAATTTTAAATAGATTTTAAATTAAGAAAAATTGTAGATAGATCCTATATGTTTTTCATATATTTGTAATTTAGTGTTTAGGTTTAGAGATTAATTTATAATTTTTGAAATTTCACATAATATTATTTATATTTCATTTTTAAGATAATTTTAGAGTATTATAATTATTATTTTATTTGTATCATATTTTAATCTTTCCTTGTTAAAATATTTTATTATTCCAAAACTCTTATGAAATGGTGCCCGGAGGATACACTTGCCTCCAAGTGGGGGTGAAAAAAATTAATTGATATTCCAAAATGGTTTTTACTTTGTAAAATATCAGGAATATATAATATTAAATTTTACTATTTTCATAATATTATTCTTAAATTATCCTTGTCATAAATGTTTAAAATATTATGAATTAAATTAAAGATGTTTTAAAGATGATATTATTAAATTAAATAGAAATAGAAATAGTTAAATTTTATTTATATTTAAGAAAAAAATATTTTTTATTGTTTATAATATAAGATAGAGGGAGTATGTCGATATCTAGTGAATGGTTAAATAGTCGTAACAGAATAAAATTATTTGTGATTTAAATTTTTATTCTTTGATGAGTCTTTGATGGTAGTTCTATTCAGGAATTATGATCTCTCCCATTTTTTTTAATGTATCAAATTTACTATAAAAATATTATTTTTTTGGTCTCTTAAAATTTATTAAAAATATTATAAATTAATAGATAAGAATTATCATATTAGTTTATAATTAAAAAATAAAGTATATATAATTAATATATAAGGT